AGTCCCGCCGAGCGCCCGCCAGGCGTGGCCGAGAACGCCTGTCGATCCCCATTCAGCCCAAGAGCCGCTCTACCACGACGGCACCTCCGACGACGATGCCCCCAAACCAGACGCGGGTCCATCGCGCGGCAATGCCGCCCTGCGCCGCCGCCGACATTCGCCGCCGCGAGACTGCGCCTGCTCGGGCTCCCGCGTTGCCAACCAGCGCGACACTAACTGGTCGGGCGCAGCGGTCTCCGCCGCGTGCCCTGCGCCGGCAGCCCGCGCTGGCGCTGCCCGTCTGATTTCCCCCGCGCTGACAGCGACGAATCTAACTATGAGCTCGGGCAGCGCCCTCCAGCGACCGCGCTGGGAGGGGGGCCGACGCCGTCGCTGCCGCGACCGCGGGCGTCGCCCGCCCGCCGACCTCGGCCGCGGCTACCACCGTTGCCGACCCCGCGAGATCGGCCCTACTCGCTCTCACCTTCCATGGTCTGCGCCACGAGTGTCGATTTCGCGCCTCCAGCGGGGACTGCGCCAGTTGCCGCCTCCGCGCGTGCACCGCCCTCCCTGGGTGCGCCGCTAGGTATCCCGGGAAAGGCCGCGTCGGCCGCCCGCGTGCCCGCGGAGTTGCTGAGCATTTTCCGGGGTTCCTCAAGACCCCAGGGTTTCCAGAGGGGAGTCAAGAGGATTTTTTAAGTTTCGGCCAAGCCGCAGGATTTCATGTGATTTCGGAGGATTCCATCGAGGTCCTCGAGGTTCCATATGATGTTTCTGGCTCTTCAAGGTATTTTCAGAATCTACTGGATTCTGGTAAAATCCAATGAGATTTTTTTGGGTGCTCGCATGTTCGCAGAACCCGCGGAATTCGTCAGGATTGTTCAGGATCCTACAGGATTCAACCGGATTCTTTTGGAGGCCGTTTGCATGGTTGTAAAGCGGGTGGTCGGGTTGTGAAGTGGCTTTCCAGATTGCAAAGCGGCTGTTTCAGTAGATTTTCTGGTTGTAGATGACCTGTCTGGAGCCGCAGTAGGTTGAAGCTGTTCCTGGTTGTAATGTGTCAGGTCTGGTTGTGCAAATACCGTCTGGTGGTGTTCCTCTGCCCCCTCCGCGCCTCCCCCGAACAGTGGCCCCCTTCCCACCCCTGTCTTTCCCTCCCTTCCCCTCCCCTCCCCTCCCCTCCCTCCCTTCCCTCCCCTCTCCCTCTTCCCCTCCTTCCCCTCGCTCCCTCTCTTTTCCCTCCCTCCCCCTCCCTTCCTTCCCCCCGCCCCTCCCTCCCCCGCAGTCTTTTGTAAACGCTTGCTTGCCCCACCAGCGGCTAAACACACAAAAGGCCTCTATACACCACCGCCGTGGTTGGCCAGGTTTTTTTTTTCTGGGCCCCAGGATGGTCCTGGCCAAGCACGGTGGTGGTGCAGTTGCCCTCTGCTGCAGATAGCCCTGGGTTGCCGCGCCGGAAGGCCCCGCCCCTTCCCCCCATGGGGGAACGGGGGGGGCGGGGCCGTCGGCCGACCTTGGGGAAGAGCCGCGACGAGCGCCACGCGCCGCGGAGGACGCCGCGGGGGCGAACGGCTCGGAGAACCAGCCGCGCCCCGGCTGGACCCGACTCGCGGGCAAGCCAGGGACACCAACCTGACCACCCCCACCAGCGGTCCTCGTGGATGGCACTGGCCGACGGCGCCGGGTGCCCAGCGTGGGCAGCGTCGGCAGCCTATCCGCGGCGCTTGGTCCCGAGAGCCTGGGGTGGCCCCGTCGTGGGCCCGCCCTGGACACAACGGATGCCGGCGGTGGTCAGTCAGTTTGGCGCCCCCGCGCAGGCGGGGCCGCGGCGCGGGCCGACCTGCGTCGGTCGGCGGCCCGGCTGGCGGGTGGCGCTGCGGCGCCCCGTGCCGCTGAGGCACCCCGGGCGGCGAGCAGTGCGGTCGCGCCGCCGCGCCCTGGCTGGGCCCGGCTGGTTGCCAGCCCCGCGGCGCCCCGCCCCGTCGCGGGCCCGTCGGCGGGCGCGGCTTTGGCGGTGCCCCCCGCCTCGGGCATGGAGTCGGCCTCTCAGCCGCGCGGCGCCCTGCCGCTGGGACCCTGATAATTATCCTCTCGTTGCAGAGGGTTTCTCTGTTTCGGGTGGGCTCAGGAAAGGGTTCAGGATGCCAGGCGGGCCCCAGGGAAGGGGTCCAGACCATTGGGGAAGCACGTGGTGAAAAATCACTACGCCGGATGTGTATCGGGAGGGAGGGGGGGAGGGGAGGGGGAACCCATGACCTTCACCCTAGTGCCGGGGCGGGGGCCATTCGGGTTTCTGGGCCGAAGGAGGGAGGCAGGGGGTTGAGGGGCAGGAAGAGGGAGGGAGGGAGGGAGAGAAGGGAAGGAAGGAATGGAGAGAAGGGGGTAGGGCAAGGAAGGGGGTTCTGGCCGCCCTGATGGTTCTGAGCAGAAGGGGTCGGAGGGTCGCGCCGCGTCGCCGATGCATCGGCGATGCGGTTCGATCCGGAGCTGATTTTTACCCTCCAGGCGTCGCCGATGCATCGTCGATGCATCGTCGATGCGGCGTGATCCTACGCACCCATCTGCCGCGGCCCTTGGGCAACTTCCAAGGAACAAGGAGGAGAACCAGAGTAAACCCAAATGGCAGCAATAATGCTGCAATATGCCCGCCCGTCCGAAGTCTCCTCTACAGGGATTCATTTTCACTGCAGGAAGTCCCCCCTTTAAAGACGAGGTCCGCAATTCAGGCGTGAGCCCCGTTTTGAAAAGGAGCGCCATCCATGTTTCTAGCTTTCAGGAAAGCGAAGAGGTATGATCATACAGTTTAAGGAAGTGTCCTACGGGAGCTCTGCTTTGGAAAATAACAGCCCTTGATCAATGGACATATTATCCATGCTCGACGTCTGGCCATCAAACCTAAGGAACAGGATGTTCCCCATCGTTGACCCAAACCAGTGCTGTCAAGCTCACTCGGTAATGATGATGCTGATGATGCTGATGATGCTGATGATGCTGATGATGCTATGTACATGTACATGTACATGCATATGTACATGTATATTTATATGTATATTTATATGTACATGTACATGTATCTGTAGACATGTATATGCATATGTATATGTGTATGCATATGTATATGTATATGTATATGTATATGTATATGTATATGTATATGCATATGTGTATGTATATGTGTATGTATATGTATATGCATATGTATATGTATAAGTATATGTATATGTATCGGTATAGGTATATGTATATGTATGTATATATGTATGCGTATATGTGTATGTGTATTTTTACGTATATGCATACGTGTAGGTGTCTGTAGTTGCACATGTGCATGTATATGTGTATGAACGTATATATAGATGTCTTTATATGTATATGCATATGTATAGGTATGTGTATATGTATATGTATATGTATTTGTATGCGTATAGTCGTACGCATTTGTACATGTAGATGTTATATGTGTATGTGTATGTATAGGTATATGTATGCGTATGTGTATGTGTGCATGTATGTGTTTATGTATACGTGTACGTACATGTGTATGTATGCATGTATGTGTATATATATATATATATGTATATATGTGGCTATGTGTGTATGTGTGTATGCATATGTATATGTAATGTATATGTATATATGGTTGTATACATATATCTGCATATATTTATAAGTATATGAATATCTGTATTATGAGTATGTATATTATTTGTATATGTGTATGTCCGTATGTGTACATGTATATGTATATATGTGTATATGTATATGTAGTTGTTTATTCGTAGGTATTTGTATATGTATGTATGATGCTATACGTATATGTATATGTATAGGTGTATGTATATGTATGTCTAGGTGTATGTCAACATGTATATGTATATGTATAGGTATATGTATCTGTATGTGTATATGTATGTGTACGTGTATGTGCATGCGTATGTGTATGCGTATGTGTATGTGTATATGTATGTGTATATGTATGTGTATATGTATATGTTCATGTACATGTACATGTACATGCATACGTATGTGTGTATGTGTTTGTATACGTACATGTATATGTACATGCACATATTCATGTACATGTACATGTGCATGCAAACGTATACGTGTATGTGTATATGTGTGTAGGTGTATATGTATACTTACATATACATATGTATGTATGTATATGTATATGCATATGTATATGTATATGTATATGTATATGTATATGTATATGTATATGTATATGTATATGTATATGTGTATATATATATATGTATATGTATATATATATATATATATATATATATATATATGGGGACGCCCCCGCACCCCCAAACCACCCCAAAACAAACAAAGCGCCAAGTGAGCGTGTTATCCTCATCCTTCTCCGTCTCCTCCTCGTTATCCCGTCCTCCTCCTTCTCAGAAACTGAAAACGATTCTCTTGGGCTCGTTTGAGGAGGGGTCGCGTCTCTGAACGTAGAGGCCTTCAGGTTTTTCTTTTTTTTTCTGGTTTTCCTGATTGCTGGCAGAGACTACGCAAGTTGGCTAGCCTCTCCCAGGAATCTGAACAAAAAAACAGAAAAACAAGAAACACCTGAACAACACAGCGTGTTCAGTCCCTCTACGCTAAGGGAGGAGGAATGTGAGAGGATACAGGAGTGATGCGAATGAGCGGAGGCCGAACCGTGTGAGGGTGTGCCGAGATTGACTTGGGGCCTTCGGTAGAGGCTCATCTGCGTGGTCACGGAAGTTTGAGGGGTGCGCCGAAGAAATTCCCCACGCTTCCCTTTCCATTCCAAACAACAGCAGGGATGAGTGCAAGTGTTGCCTTTTGTGCAAAATCGTAACGTCACGACAAATCGAAAACAATATGCGTATCCGCGCACATCTCGCTCGGGCACTCCCGGCACGTTTGCCCAGCGTCTCGCAGCGCGGACAGCATTGCAGAGATAAGCTTCACGGGTCATATGTGGCAAGCAAAAGGACTGCGCATCGGCGTGCGCATCAGCTGCAGCAGATACTACTGCGCTCGGTTCAGTCAGAGGCCGAACCCTCGCCCACTTGCGGGAAGGACCGCTCGTCGCCTGAAGCGGCGGCCGCGCCTTCGGCCATCGCCGCGGCGATATCCTGCGAGGAGACGTCGGCGGCTGGCGGGCGCGCTGGGGACAACAGGTCGATTCTCGAGCCGTGGGCCTCCCTCCCGCGCTCGATGATACTCTCCTTCATCGCCTGCATGGCCCTATCGCGCTCCTCCTCGTCCATGGTGGACACGTCGGGGCAAGCCAAGCGCTTGGCGCCGCGCTTGAGCGGCTGTGGCGAGGAGACGTCGATCACGTGGCCGTGAAAGGCCACCGCGCGATCGCAGAGGCTGTGCTGAACGGTGCGGCAGACACTCAGCTGCTCATCGATATGACGCGTATCTTCGAGAACGGGGCACGAGGCGCTGGTCGGCTGACCAGCGGCCGCTCGCGGGAACCATTCGCTCCCCTGCCTGCCGCTCGGCGGCTGCGTGGCCACCTCTGGGAAGTTGTATCTCGTGGGCGCGTCCTGGTCGAAGAGCGTGGGGCCACGGACCGTCGATGACTGCCCGAGCTCCTCGCCCCGCGCTAACTTCTTCATGGCGGCCACGGCCCACCTCATGTGCTGGTCGTAGGCGGATGGAGCGCGAGTCTGGTCTTTCTTGAATGCCTTGAGGATGTCGCACGTCTCGGGCGTGAAGAGATCTGGCTTCGCAGGCAGTGGCCGCGGAAAGCGAGGGGCTGGCTCCTTCGTCGTGGATGCCGCCCGAAAGTGCACCCAGTTCGGCGAGAGGAGCACGACGTTGGACCTCGCCATGTACGCCTCCACGTTCGCCATCTTGTAGCTGCGCTGCTTTTCGCCGATGAAATTGCAGTCGATGATCTGGATGAAGTCACTGACTGCTACCTCTTCCTTCTCCCTGCTGACGGTCTTGACCGTCGCCTCGAACTCCTCGTTATGCGGATTGACGCAGATCTGGCGGGACTTGTTCTGCTCGACAGAGGCGCCGCCCCACCACCTGTGCAGCGCGCGGATAACTGCAACGCAGCCCCTGGTAAACTTATTAACGTAATTTTGATGCGTTTATGCAATTTTTGGTTTCCAAGAAATGTATTTTCCCGCGCGCCGCCGCCTCGCCCAAAGCAGCGCGTCTTCCTCGGCGGGGTCGAGGGCAGCCTTGATCTCGTCGGGGTCTCACTTGGCCAGCACGGTATCGTCTGCGGTGGCGGGCTCGAACGTGGTCCCAGGCTCCAAGAGCAGGAAGTCGATCTTCTTCGCCGTGATGACGCTCGGGCGGAGGTCAGCGCGGCGGTGCTTCTCGATCTGGTAGGCAGAAATAGCGAAGCCGATCGTTTTGGATGCTGTGGATTTGCCGACCCTGGTCTTTCCGATCCACATGGTCCCATGGACGTCGTGGCTCCTAAGGATGGGGGCGACGATGCGGTCGGACGGGAACGGGTCAGACCGCCTGGGAGTGACCGCCCAGCGCTCGAGTGTCCTCGCGCCGACAGTGCCCGACGCGTAGTTGCGGAGCGACTCCGTGACGTCTGATGCCATCCATCCGAAGATCGGAGAGTTCTCGTCGTGAATCATCTCGTCGGTCCACTCCACGAACTGGTTTTTGTTGTTGGCCCTCGGGCCGCACTTCTCGATGTAACGGTAATCCGCCTGCCTCTTGCCTTTGTGAGATACATCGGCCCCTGCGGCTGCGGCGGTGGCCGCGGACGGCTGGGCCCAGTGGCGGATCTGCACTCCGCCCAACCGGTCCATCATATAGTGAAAGAGCTTCAGCGGCGTCTTCTTGTCGGGCGAGGTTCCCCAGTGGGGAGTCAGCGCCGTGCCAGAGACAAAGACCTCCTTCGCGATGTCCGTCCGCGTGGCCTTCTCGAACATGATGCATTTCCAAGCGAACTGCCGACCGTCGTCTTCCTTCGGCAGGGTGTAGAGCTGCATTGTGAATGCGATCTCGCCAGGGTCCTTGTTCGGTCTGAACGGGGCTGGCAGCGCCATGTAATTGCCGCGGCACGTGGCGCCATAGACCTCAACTGTATCCAGTTGCTCCGCAGCCCCTTCCTCCAGTCGACCAATTTCTTGAGATTCACGACGTTGTCAGTGTACTGGGGGGGCATGTCGCGGAGGCGAAACGCCGCGGGGGGATCCGGCTGGAAACGCTCTGGTTTGGTGAGGCACGTGTAGGGTTGCACGACCGCCATGTGCAGCCACGTGTTCTTGATCTGGTCAGTCGCGGACTCGTCGCCGCCGATGATCCCCCCCGTCGACTTGATGCCGCCGGCAGTGAGGCTCGCCATTCCAGGCGGCGGGCGAAGTTGGGCGGTTGACGCTAAAGCTAGAGCAACTGCGAAGCTCGAGCCTGGCCACGCTGCTAAACTGATGCGAATGCTAGGCCAGCTAAACGGGCGCTGAGTTGCTGCGGGGCAACGCTTGACCGCACTCGGCCCTTTCTTATCAGAGCGCACTCGCAGGCGTGCAGGCGCATCGTGAACATCGCTCGCAGGCGCGCAGGCGCATCGTGAACATAGCTCTAATAGCTTGAGGTCGCGCGGGGTAGCACTGGCCGCTGGCTGCCCTGCGTCGCCCTGCCAAGCCGCGCGGGCTCATTGGCCGAAGTCCTTGGGCCACAAGTCGCTCAGCGTGTCCCCCGTGTGCTGCCAGTAGTCGGCACCGCGCTTCCAGTGTCCCCACTGGGGCGAGCGGATCTTCCGGCGGAGAGACGTTGCGTTCACAACCTTGGCGCTACCGAGGTGCTTGCGCAGACCGAGCCAGCAGCGGTCGATGACCTGGGCCCCAGCCATAACCCGCAGCTTCTTTTTGGGCGCGCCGTCCTCGGCAACGGTGTGGTAACGGGGCTTGGTGTACTTCGGCCTGGCCCGGATGCACTTCCCGTTGACCTTGACGCGCTTGCGGCAGTGGGCGACGTAGTCGTACTTCACGCCGTCCAACTTGATCCTGTAACTCTTGGCGCCGTCCGCGTGCAGAATGACGCGGCGGCCCTTGAGCCACTTCTTCGCCGCGGGCATCCAGTCCCGCTTGCGAGTGCCCCCTGGGCCTGACGCCCTCTTCTTCGTCTTGGTGGGCTTCAGCCTAAAGAGCACGAGCGTGTCTGGAGCGCCCCTCTCCGCGATCCCGCCCCGCTGCTCCCGGTCGACAGGGCTGGGGCCGCCGTCCTCGGACATCTTCTTCGCGAGGTCCACCTCGTCGGCCTCGGTGTCCTTCCAGGCCTCGCCCTGGCCGAGCTTGATGGACTTCCCTTTCGCCGCGACGTATTTCTCCCTGGTCGCACGCAGGCGCCCGCGAATCCCCCCGACCATGTTGTGATTCTTATTTACGAGGCGATCAGTGCACACCTGCGAGGCCCCCGCCACGGCCGACAATGAGGCGGGCGCCTGGTCTCGCAGGGGCGCGCGCGACTGCCCTGTGCCCGCCGCGAAGATCGGATGGATCGCGTGCGGTAAGACGTGCCGATGGCACCCGCTGTGGTTGCACCTGTGGCCCCATCCGCCCAGCTTGTCAGACCGCTTTTTGAGATTGCCGATGGTGCCCTTGGTACAATGTGGGCAGCTGGCCCCCGCCTCTGGCAAATGGCCGTGCTTCTTGGGCGCGTCGATGACGTGCTGCTGCCCCCCTGTTCGTGAAGTCGGACAGCCCCGCGCGCCACCTCGCCCTCTCGTTCCGAGGTTTCACAGTGCGGATCCCGTGCCTCACGTAGGGTATGCGCTTGGGGGGGCTGTCTGCGGCCTTCTTCATCGCCTTCTTCACCTGCTTCGCCGACCGACTCTGGCCGGCCGCCCTGCGCTTCCCCCTCTTGGGCAAAGGGAAGTTGGACATCGCCGCCCGCAGCGGCTGCGCAGCCAAAGGGCGCAGGCGGTGGCGGCGGAGGTCACTTGAGCCAGAAAACGCCGCAGCACTCTGCAATCTGAAGCGGGGGGGAGGGGGGGCGAGTGGGGCAAGGGCCAATCGAGGTCACGGACGAGCGCTTCGAGTAGTCTTTGAGCCTACACGGACGCTGTATTTGAGGCGGAAGAGGGGGGATGGGCGTCGGGGCGATCGCAGGCGAGGGAAAGAAGAGTGGGCAACGTCCGTCTGCGAGCATGTGGGACGAACGGTCGCCCTGGCTGATCGCACGTTTTGCTTGGACATGCTGGCGCAAGCTCGATGTCATCTCAAAACGATAGCACTGGATGTTGCGAGCGTGCGCGGCACGCGCCGCGCCCGCGCTACTTGCCCTCGCCTCAGAGGAAGCGGCGCGCCGAAGCGCGCAGGCCGAATGACGGACCACCGTGCGTTCGGTTGGACGGCTGGTCGCCGTCCGCGTCGAACAGCGCATCGCGGTGGCGGGGCAGCGCAAGCGACGCCATCGCCATCCTCTGCATGCACCCCCAGGTGGTCGACCACGGCGCCTCCGCCGCGTGGGTCCATCCCGGGAAATCGCGGCACGTGCACGTCGCAATGCACGTGCGATCCTCAGTTCCCACCGAAGGACGACATCGCGCATCGCAGATCTGCCATCGACTATCCGCGGCAGATCGATCGGTCCGATCGCCGCGATCATCGTCGATCTGCAACTGCCCGCGGCAGATGGATCGGGCAGATCGCGGACGGCGCAAGATCTCGCGATCGCGGCTGGCGAGGCGAGCGCGCGATCGTCGTGGCCGATGCAAGTGGCCACACTCTCGGCGTACATGTGCGGGCGGACGATAACATAGTCGAAAGCGAGATCGTTCGACACCCGCAAGTTGCCGTGGAAGCCGGAAGCGAAGAACGGGTCGCCGCTGTCCCGCACTTCAATGTTCGCGGGCCACGCGCACACGTTGAACCGATCCTGGGGCAAAAGCAAATGTGCTCCCTCATTGCTGGAATCAAGAGATTGTCGGTGGCGGGGTGGGGCCCTCCCAACACTGGATTACCCCCTGCCCACAAGTCCTCGCCAGCAGCCAAGCGCTGAGCCTGCGTGCGCCCCACCCTGCGCCACGCCGCGTCGGGCGGCAAGACGTGGCCAACGTGGCCAGGCATGCCGCGCGGCACGAAAGCGTACTCGAAAGCCATGGGTAGAAGCCTACCGCGGAGAACCTTGAGGGGGTCTGAGCACCCTGCAGAGGCCTGAGCGCTAGCGGCAACGGGAGGCACCAGCAGCAGCACCAGCATATGCGGTATGATTGCTGTCCATGCGCATTTCTGGTTGCGCAATAAATCAAGTGCAACTGAGATGTGGGTTTTCTGGGGGCGGAGGTGGGGACCCATTTTTTGGATTACTTCATTTTCTCTTTTGGAGCCGCACATGACAATCATTGCTCCTCTGCCTCTCTCCTGCCCGCTGCCCCCTTTGCCTCTCTCGCCCTTCCGCGCCGCCCTTCTGGGTCCCTTTGCTGGGTCCCTTGCTGGGTCCCTTGCTGGGTCTCCTGGCTGGGTCTCCTCCTGGGCCCCCTGCTGGGCCCCTTTGCCGGCCCCCCTGCTGGGCCCCCGCATGGGTCTCCACGGGGGCATCCAAAAATGGATGCCCCTTGCACCGCAGAAGGCGCGGTTGATTTTCACTGATTCTAGGTCGCCCAGCAGCGCTGAGCTCCCTCAAGGAGAGCGTCGTCGCGCTTGGAGCCCTTCCAGGGGACGCCCAGCGGAACTGCGCCCCCTCAAGGAGAGCGTCGTCGCGCTTCGGGCCCTTTCCAGGGGGCGCCCAGCGGCGCTGAGCTCCCTCAAGGAGAGCGTCGTCGTTCTTGGGCCCCCTCCAGGGGGCGCCCAGCGGCGCTGGCTTTGGTTCTGGTTCTTGTTCTGGTTCTGGTTCTGGCTCTGGTTATGGTTCTGGTTCTGTATCTTTTGGACGGCGAAAGCTACATTGTAAATGACCCCCTCTCCATCCGTGTAATTTTGGAAGTTTCGAGCTTCCGGGTCATAAAGGGGAGAAGGTCTTAGGCGAAGCGCCCGGCCCTCCCTACCGACACGTCTGTTGGTCGTACGAGGAGGACTTACCTGTAAAGACAAGGGAGGAGGAGGAGGAGGAAGAGGAGGAGGAGGAGGAGGAGGAGGAGGAGGAGGAGAGGAGGCGGGGGAGGAGGACAAATCGTGTCCAGCTGCCACGGAGGTCCCCTCAGCTGGCTGCCCGTGCCTTCTGAGAGCCTCCGTGGCCGCAGAGATGGAGAAGGAGGTGGTGGTGGAGGGGGAGGAGTCGGAGGAGTCGGAGTCGGAGTCGGAGTCGGAGTCGGAGTCGGAATCGGAGTCAGAGTCGGAGTCGGAGGAGGATGATGAGGACGAGGAGGAGGTGGAGGACAAGTATTTTCTAGCTACAAGGGTGCCCGTGCCTCATGAGAGCTTCCGTGGCCGCAGAGGATGGAAGAGGCAGAGGAGGAGGAGCAGGAGGAGGAGGAGGAGGAGGAGGAGGAGGAGGAGGAGGAGGAGGGAGAAGGAGGATGAGGAGGACTGCAAATTTTATCCGTCTGCCACGGAGGTCCCCTCAGATCGTAAGGAAGAGAAGGAGGAGGAGGATGAGGAGGAGGAAGAGGAGGAGGAGGAGGAAGAGGAGGAGGAGGAAGAGGAGGTGGAGAGAGGAGGATGATGATGAGGAGGAGGAGGATGAAGAAGGGGAGGACTCGGAGGGAGGCGGAGGAGTTGACTGATGAGGTGACGGAGGAGGGTGAGGACGATGAGGGGGACTAGGATGAGGAGGGAGGAGGAGGAAGAGGAGGAGGAGGAGGAGGAGGAGGAGGTTGATGTGGATGATGATGAGGAGGAGAATGAGGATGATGAGGGGGAGGACGCGGAGGAGGAGGAGTTGATTGATGAGGTGACGGAGGAGGGTGAGGACGATGAGGGGGACTAGGAGGAGGAGGAGGAGGAGGAGGAGGAGGAGGAGGAGGAGGAGGAGGCCGGGGAGGCGGGATGATGATGAGGAACAGGAAGAGTAGGTGGTGGAGCAGGAGGAGGAGGGGGATATGATGATGATGACGATGCTGATGCTGATGCTGATGATGATGATGCTGATCATGGTGATGATGGTGATGCCGATTATGATGGTATCGCTGATGATACTGATTCTGATGATGACGATGATGCTGTCGCTGATGCTGATGCTGATGTCTATGCTGATGCTGCTGATTATGATGATGACGATACCAATGATGATGAGGATGATGGGGATGATGATGAGGAGGATGAGGATGAGGATGGGGATGATGATGAGGGTGTTGTTGGCTGTGGTGATTATGATGGTGATAATGATGATGATGCTGATGCTGATGATGACGGTGATGGTGGTTGAGGTGGTCATACTGATGATGTTGAATATGATGCTGATACAGATGATGCTGACGGTGTTGATGATGCTGATGTTGTTGCTGATGCTGATGCGCCTGCTGATGCTGATAATGATGATGATGCTGATGATGATGCTGATGATACTGATGAGGATGTAGATGCTGATGATGATGATGATGATGATGATTCTGATTTTGATGATGATGATGATGATGCTGATGACGATGACGATGATGACGATGATGATAATGATGAAGGTGATGCCGTTGATGAAGCTGATGCTGATGCTGTTGCTGATGTTGTTGATGATGATGATCATGCAGGACGATGTTGATGATGCTGATGATGACGATGCTGCTGGCGATGACGATGAAGATGATGACGATGAAGCTGATGATGATGATGATGATGCTGTTGACGACGATGCTGGTGATGATGGTGATGATGATGATGATGATGGGGATGATTATGACAAAGATGCTGATGATGCTGACGATGATGATGACGATGATGATGATGATGAGGAGGAGGAGGAGGAAGATGAGTATGCTTCTGCTGCTGATGAGGATTATGATAATCACGATGCACGATGCTCAGAATGAGTATGATGATGCTGTTGATGCTAATGATGCTGATAATCGGCGATGATGCTGATGCTGATGCTGATGCTGCTGCTTCTGCTGATGATGATGACGACGATGATGATGATGATGATGATGATGACGATGATGATGATGATGATGATGATGATGATGATGATGATGATGATGATGATGATGATGCGGTTGCTGCTGCTGCTGCTGAAGACGACGACGACGACGACGACGACGACGACGACGACGGCGGCGACGACGACGACGACGATGGTGGTGGTGGTGATGATGATTATGATAATGATGATGCTGCTGATGATGATGATGATGATGATGATGAGGAGGAGGAGGAGGAGGAGGAGGAGGAGGAGGAGGAGGAGGATGAGGAGTTGGAGGAGGACGAGGAGGAGGCTTTGTGAGACTGCGCGGCCTTCCAGAAACAGTGGGAGAGAAAGAGAGACAGAGAGAGAGGCAGAAAGAGAGAGAGAGAGAGAGAGAGAGAGAAAGAGAGAGCGGGGATCGCAGGTTCGGAGGGCGGAGAAGGACGGAGGAGCGTCGAAGGTATGGCGGAGGGAGGGCGGATGCGTGCGGCAGCGCCAGGGAGGGAGGAGTGGCCTGTGCGAGGCTCGAGGCGCCTTCCTCTGGGGAGGCCTCGAGTCCTCGAGTGGGCGAGCGGGGAGCCTGATCGGGCCCGCCCAGCGGGGCGCAGGCCGCGCCCGCGCGGTCGCGATCGATGTCCGCGGCCGGCCTGGGACCGCCTCAGCCATCCCCCGTTGTGATTTTGCACGAGGTGGCTCCCCAGAGCTCTGCATGGAGCCCTTCGCCGGGACCGGCTTTTCGTCCCGAGCCGTTGTCTGACGGTCCCGGGGACGGGCGAGGGCCCCTGGAGGGCGGAAGTCGTCCACGAGCCCGTCGTCGCGATTTTTCGCGACGAGGGGATGTCATGATCTCAGCGGCGCCTCGGAGCTGTCCGGCGGGCCGTTGCCTGGT